CTGGGCGAGAACGTGGAATGTGGACACGCGGGACCACAGATGACAGGGACGAAGGGCTCGGGCAGGACAGAAAGAGGAAGAGGGTCGGAGACCAAGGTGACCCGGCCGTCGCGGGCACCTACACGGGGGGAGAGCCGCTCGAGCAGGCAATGACGAGCGGGGACCAGCGCCACGGCAGAGGCCAAAGACAAAGCTGGCCGCTGTCATGAGCGGCGACCTCGCCACCGCGCGTCAGGGGGCGCAGAGGGGGAGGCGGGCAGATGCCCAGCTGCGTGATGCTGGAAAGCGCCGGCCGGCAGGGAAGCGGTCGGCGCAGCCGCCACGCTCCTCCTCCCGGCCGTGAGGGCCCAGGTGGGGGCCGGTGTGGCCCAGCGGCAGGTGAGGGGGCGCGAGGTGCCCCTCTGACTGACGGGCTTTGAGCAGCGGGGGAGGAGCCTGTTTCTTCCCGACGGCCCTAACCCGCTGACCCGGCTTTAACCGTGTGCGCATGCGACGCTCTGCGATCTCCGCCTCCAGCCCTGACCCCTTTCCTGAACTTCGGATTGATATACACGTGGGGACCCTCAGCCCTGGCCCTCGACGCGTTCAGACATGTGCCGCTGGCTCCTCTCTTACCGTGTCCTTCCCGTCGTACCTTCCGTATTTCGGATTCCACGGATGAAACTACCACCTGCCCATCACGGAGCGCACAGGGGCCCGGATGCCCCTCCCCCATCTCCCTCCGGCCACGCCCAGCCCATCACCAGGTCCTGTCAATCTGACCTCCCCGCGATGACCACGGGCACGCCGTGCTCTGTCCCCACACCGCTGCCGCGGGCCAAGTCCTCACTTGGAGTCACTTTGCAAGTCCAACTTAACCCGCTGTATCGAGGGAGGTCCGTCTGGCAGAAAGACACGGCTCTGGCTTTTAAACAGAGGTCATTTTACACGGGACACGGAAGAGCCGAGAAAGTAAATAAGGGGTGACGAGCAACCCAGAGATTAGGAAAAGCGGAAGCAAGACTCCCAGGCCCGGAGGGACAGTCAGCGGAGGCGCTGGTGTCAGAACCGAGAGCCAAGGACTGGCCGGGGGAGACGGCGCCATTTAGGGACAAGCTGGGGGGTGTTGGAGCCCGGAGGACAGGCGGCTGCCACAGGAGACGCCACAGAAAGGCGATGGTGGGGGAGCCCGCGTGAAAACCCCAACTCTCTCAGGCTTCCGATCTCCTACCTGCCCCTTCCACCGGCCAAATCTACCTGGACGCATAGTGCAAGGAAGCCTGGGAAATATAGTTACCTGTGTACAGGTCAGAGCAGGTGAGAGTGATGAACCGAAAATGGAAGTCCGACCCGGTTACCTCTTCTTAAAATTGTCCCCATGACACTCAGAAAAAAAAACAAACAAAAAACCGAAAAACATTTAATGGCCCCCCAAGCCTTGCCCTCACCTAACTCCTCTGACCTGATCCCTGGACACCCCAACTTCACCTCATGGTGCTTCATGCCTTTCTGCCTTTGTGGGTGCTGTTCCCTCGGGAGCCAACATACGCCAGCACGTCTACACACACACGCACACGCACACACACGGCATTGTGATCGGGGTTATAACTGAATCTACTAGTCGATTTCGATGAACAAGACGTACCCCTTCACTCGTTAAGATTTCTCAGTAACGCTTTACAGTTTTCCACGTAGAATTCTGGCCATTATTTACTGACATCCAGAGAGCAGCAGTGTAAACACTGAACTATCACGGAACCGGACACAGTCGTCACGGAACTACCGACATAATGCGCGGGCGACCGGCGACCGCGACTCCGGCCATGCGGCTGGGAAGGAGACGG